CCCACGCCTCCCTAATTGTTGTCATTTAGAAGTAGCAAAACTACTAGCTACATGGCATGAACTTTTTGTTTGTTTTCTTCCGGTACCAGGAATCGAACTCACAACCTTGCCCTTGCCAGGCAGGCGCTGTTCCACTGAGCTAAATCCCCAGCCCCAAGTACTTTTTTTTTTTTTTTTTTTTTGAGACAGTCTTGCTCTGCAGTTCAGGCTGGCCTTGAATTCACCATGTAGCACAGGCTGTCCTGGAATTTGAGGCAATCCTCCTGCCTCAGCCTCCTGAGTGCTGGGATTACAGGCATGCGCCACCGTGCCTGGCCATGGCATGTACTTTTAAAAAGGCTTTGAGAGCTGGGCATGGTGGCACGTGCCTGTAATCCCAGCACTCAGGAGGCTGAGGCAGGAGGATCATCCTGAGTTCAAGACCAGCATGGGCTACATAAGTGAGTTCAAGGCCAGCCTAACCTGCAGAGCGAGACCCTACCTCAAAAAAAAGGGAGGGGGTGAGAGGTGAGGGATCCTTTTAGGATTGGTGGAATGAAGTCATTTTTTTTTTCTGGTACTAGGGATTGAACCTAGGGCCTTTGCACGGAGCTACATCCCCAGCTCCCCTCCCCCTTTTTGAAACAGTCTAAGTCCCTGAGTTGTCCAGGCTGGGCTCGGACTTGCGATCCTTCTGCCTCAGCCTTCCAAAGTGCTGGATTACAGGTGTGCACCACCGGGCCCACCTGAAGTTACAGATTTTTTTTTAAATTAAAAAGATATTTTCCATTTTTGGAAAAAAATTACTAAGGTTGAGTTTGCCTCCCACCCTCCTGCTCACAGTGAGTTTCTCAAAAAAAAAGCTGAAGGAGTCGCGTTTGCAGATGACTTAATTTATTTTCATATTTCTGTGCCAGCCTCATGTCAGGCCCTGTGCTTTCTCATCCCTGAGTATCAAGGCCTTAAGGGAACTGAGGGAAGGGAGGCCGCGCTCCAAATAAGGGAGCTCAAGGTCGGACTGCTGTCCCTGAGCACACTGGCTGAGGGAGTGCGGGAGCTGGGATTCCAGCTCAGCCTAGCCGCACTCGCCTCTCGCCCAGGCTGCGGCTGAGCAAGGCTCCTACCGCCCCGAGCCTCAGTGAGCAGCGGGGCCAGCGGGCGCACCCAGCCCTGTCCACCAGTGCCGCTCTTATCTGGGCCCGGGAAGTCGACTTCCTCCTTGCCCACATTGCCCAGCCAGCCTGAATGAGTCAGCCTCAGGGTGATTTCACTGTCCACGGTGGGTTGTTCGGCTGCGGCTGTGTGTCACAGAGCCCAGCCGCCAGCTGTTCTGACACAGATTTATGAGTCTTCTCCCCCCCTCCCCTCAAATGCGGCTAGGTTTGGAAAGGTCGCCTTCCCTTTGCCCTCTGCCGCTCAGCTTCTGGCTGCCAAGACTGGCTGTGCTTCCTGCTAAAAGCAACCAAGGGTGAGAGGCCATTGTCCTCCTGGAAAGCCTGGCTGTCCCTGGTGCCTGGAAAAGAGGTGCGGAGGACCGGGCACAGCGCTCCCTGGACAGGGGGCCGCCCTGGGTCTGTGCTACGGCAGAGGAGAAATTTCAGGAAGGCTCTCATACAAGTGCATAGTGTTTAACCCTTAGTAATAAGGAAACCAGCACGAGGACAAGCTTCGAGGAAATGGCTCTGTTTGCTAGGGCTGTCAAAACAGTTTACCGCCAATTGAGTGCTTTTTTTTCTTTCTTTTGGTTTCTTTTTTTTTTCTGATACCAGGAATCGAACTCATGACCTTGCGCTTGCCAGGCAGGCACTGTGCCGCTGAGCTAAATCCCCAGCCCCTAACTGAGTGCTTTTAAATCGGCAGAAACTGGTCCTCTGGAAGTTCATGATTCCAGAAGTCCAAAGTCAGGTGTCAGGAAGGTTGGCTCCGTCCGGGCAGAGCATCTGCTCCCTGCGGCTCCCCGTTTGTGGCGGTGGCTGGCCGTCCTTGGCGAACCCCCGCCTATAATGCTTCCCTCCAGTCTGCCCCAGGAAGGCCTTCTCCCTCATGAGTGTATCTGGATTTCTAAACCTCCCTGTCCTTATAAGGACACCAGTCTTGGCTTTCGAGCCATCCTAATCCTGTATGACTTCATCTTACCTTGATTGTATCTGCAAAGTTCCTGCTTCCAAATAAAGTCATACGCATAGGTACTGGGCGTGGGGACTGTAACAGAGGTTTTTGGGAGGCGTAGTTGAACTTGTGACACCTACCTCCCCAGCTCAGCATCACGAACCCCTGGCTGCATAAGGGCAGTTTGGCGTGCCAGGAGAACGGAGCCCCAAGCAACGTGGATGTCAGCTTTGATCTGTCCTGGCAATCTGGGCTGCAGTGTCAGCCTGTGAATAAAGCTCAGCAGAAGGCAGAGCGTCTCCACGGCAGAGGCCACTACCGCACTGGAGATGAAGGGAACTAGAACCGGTCCTGATGAGGGACGGCAGCCGCCCTGAGCCCAGGGTGAGGCGCTGGAGACCTGTACTGCACCTGGTTGCCTTCGCCATCTATGACGGCAGAAAGCTGGCACACTTCGCAGCTGCCTCACGCTGTACTTGAGGAGGAAGGGGCTCTGTTGTCCGTATCCAGACTCCTCTCTTCTCAGGCGGACCCACATGGTCAGGCCAGAGGCAATCGTTGCTGCTGCCACCACTGCTGCTAGGGTTTTGTTTTTGTTTGGGGGGCAGGGTCTTGCTATGTAGTGTCCTGCCTCACCTTTTAAAATGCTGGGATTATAGACAGATGTCCCCTCCCCTGAGCTTTTTTTTTTATTGAGACAGGATCTCATTATGTAGCCCAGGCTGGCCTCGAACTCGGAGAGATCTTCCTGCCTCAGCCTTCTAGGTGCTGGGATTACAGGTGTAAACTACCATGCTCAGCTTCTTCTTTTTGTTTTTTAAACTCTTGTTTGTTTGGCTACTGTCTTTGCTTTGTTTTCTTCAATACTGAGGAATGAACCCAGGCCCTTCTCACTGAGCTACAGCCTCAGCCCTTTTTTATTTTTTATTTCGAGACAAGAGTCTCACTGAATTGTTAAATTGCCTAGGTTAGGCTCAAATTTGCAGTCTTCCTGCCTCAGCCTCCTAGAGTGCTGGGATTGCAGGCATGTGCCAGCAAGTTGGATGGCTGCTGTGTTTATTGATGTCTTTGGAAGAAAGGCACTGTCAAGAGGAAAGAGTATAGCCAGGTGGACTGCTGGGGTAAAAGGAAAGATGGTGAGTTATTTACAAAGTCCGAGAGCACAGGAGTGGCAGGATTGCAGGGGTGACGGAAGTCCAGTTGCAAGCATGTTGAGTCTGAACCGTCTGTATTCAGACAGTAATGAAATGCAGGGAAGAGATCGTTCTTGTTAGGTGTACAGAAGGAGGAGCAAGACTGTTCATTCATGATAAAGAAGCTAGTACTCCAGTCTGGTTATCTGTTCAAGGAAACATCACTAAGTATTGACCATAAGGTTCTGAAAATTTATAAGCTAAATGAACTAGGTTTGTTCCAGTTTTATAATTCTGAATTCATGAAAATAAGTTCATGATTTAATTCTTTAAAAAAAAAAGAAAGAAAGAAAGAAAGGCATTGGCTGCTGGGACCACTGTACCTCCTCCGCACCAGAGGAGACCTGAAATTTGTCTGAGAGTTCAGTTAAATCAAGAGGGGGGCAGGGCGTGGTGGCACATGCCTGTAATCCCAGCACTCGGGAGGCTGAGGCAGGAGGATCCTTGCAAGTTTGAGACCAGCCTGGGCTACAAAGCGAGCTCAGAGCCAGCCTGAACTGCATAGCAAGACCCTGTCTCAAAAAGACAAAAAAAAAAAAGAGGAAGAACTGAAGCTGTTGCCTTTGTGTGACTGAAAGCAGACCCAGCCCTCTGGACCTCAGTTTCCCCGTCTGTGACACTGTGCTGACCCAGGAGGTCTGGGTGCCAGGGCGCCAGCGCTGTGACCTCTTGCCCATGCTCCAGAAGCACCCGAGGCCTTGAATCGCATCAGGCGCCCTGCGAGCTTTGCCTTTGCCGCGGAGCACCTCTGCCTTCCTGTCTTTGTGTGGAGAATTTCCTTCCTCCAGCCCACAGAGCAAAACCGGCCAGGAACAGCTGGAAAATCTGGGCTGGCCTGGCCTGGGCCCGTTTCTCCCAGCTGTGGCCCTTGGGCCCAGATCAGGGAAGCAGCCAAGACTTTGCTCCAGAGAAAACCCCTGTCCCAGAGGGGCTGGACCGAGCACCTCCTGGGTACTCGCAGACCTTGTCCAAGCTTCTTCCTCTCCACCAGCACCTGACAGGCAGCCCCAGCCTGCTGTAGAGAAGGAAGCAGAGGGGCTGGGGATTTAGCTCAGTGGCATAGCGCCTGCCTAGCAAGTGCAAGGTCGTGAGTTCAATTCCCGGTACCGGAGAAAAAACAAAACAAAACAAAAAATAAATAAAGAGAAGGAAGCAGAGGCACAGACAGAGGCCCCTGTCCAAGGCAGCACAGCTGGCCAAGAGCTGAGCTTCCTGCCCGTGCCCTGAAACCTCTGCCTGGGAAGAGGCTGGGCCCTCGCTCAGGTGGCTGCTGAACGCTCCGAGATTGGGATTCCCCTGCCTCACTCTCCTGCCATTCTCCCGCCAGTCAGAGCATTGGGACAACTGAAGTGCCACCTCCTCCAGGACCCTTTCCCCAACCTCTGCCCACCTCCCTAGTAGCAGAAGCCCAGAGGCCCAAGAAGCTGTGGTCCTCTTCTAGAGCATGCAAGAAAGGAGGCCCTAGGAGTCAGCAGGGAACCTAGCTCTATGGTCTAAACGTTTATGTCCCTCTGAAAGTCCTGGCTTGAAATCCTAGCGCCTAAGGTGACAGTGTTAGGAGGTGGGGCCTGGGAGAGGTAAGTAGGCAGCTAGGGTGGGGCCCTCACGGATGCAATTCCTGCCTTGTTAACCAGTCCTGAGACCTCTGCCTCCCAGTCCTGGGAGGATACGGGGAGGCTGTCTATGAGGCAGCTAGTGAGGAAGCTGGACCTCATTGGGCATGGAATGTGCCTGCGCCCTAATCTTGGCTTTCTCGGCCTCTAGAACTGTGAGGAGATACATTTCTGTGCTTGTAAACCACCTCTGGGTATAGAAGCCCAAATGGGCTAAGATACCGGGCTTCCCCCGCAAGGGCAGTGGGGAGCCACAGCAGGATCCTGCATAGACGTGAGACCAGCAGTCGCGTTTTTGTTTTAATGTTTATAGTCCATGTTTGCAGTACACAGTGATCATGTTCATCATGGGGAGCTGGCACACGTACATAACACGTCTTCATTCTGTTTAGTGCCCTTCCTGTCCCCTCCCTCCAGACGCGGCGGTGAGGAGGAGGGCAGCTCCTGAGTGGGGAGCGGTCAGGTCATCCACCAGAGGGGTGGGACCAGGGGGACGGAGAGGGAGCCTCACCCGCAGCCCAGGCTCCACCCCAACAGAGCATTCCAGCCGGAGGTGGGGCACCAACCCTTTCACCTCCTGCCGGCCCTCCTTCCTCACCCTGTCCCTGTCCCCTACCGCATCTCCAGGCCCAGGAGGAGTCACCCCGCCAGATGAGCCCCGGGGAGTGTCCACCTCCTGGCCTGCGGCTCCTCCCAGTGAGCGCTCTGGCCGGTTGCTGCTGCAGGTGGTGCTGGAGGCCCGCGGTGGCGATGGACGCTTCTTCTTGGAGGTCCCATATCATCCCTGTAACAGGGGCAGCCAGAGAAAGAATGGGGTGTGGCTGCAGAGTGGGCTGGGAGCAGCCGGCCAGGGAGAGTCCTGAAACAGCTCCTCCGGCTGACTCAGGCCCTCCTGCCCTGCTTATCGGGTTCCAGGAGCGATAAGGGCCCGGTTCCTGGACTGAGGTTCTAGGCTTTTGTTTGGGGCCGCCAGGAAGTGACTTAGGAGTTTTGCAGAGGCTTAAGGAGTGGGGCTGACTCACGGGGGCGAGGGCCGGGTGTGGTGGGGCAGCCTGCAAACACCAGGCCCTGCGCCGGCCAGGACCAGCAGGCAGCCAGGCGGAGTCCCGGAGGGAGCGCGTCCCGCTCCCACGCCCTCCTGACAGCTGGCCCCACGGAGCGGGGGCTCCTCGCCCCTCTTGCCGAAGATGGGAGGGGTGGCCCAGGGCGTCTCCTCAGTCTGTACTTTGCAAATAGAAGATGTTCTCAGAATATTATTCTCACCCCCAAAATGGATCAACTGTTTGCCAACTACCGGGTCCTAAGTGCTTCACCTGTGTCACCTCCTATCATTTTCACCGAGTGACGACCACCCAGAGGGCTGGTGTTACTACTGTCCACGTTTTGCAGATGAGTCAGCTGAGGCTCAGAGAAAGAAATCTCTCGGATTCACTCAGCTATGTAGCAGCACATTCAGGATTCCAGCCCAGTTCAAAATTCATAAACAACTCGTTTGAAAGTCCAAGAGAAGGGCCGGGGATGTAGCTCAGAGGCACAGCGCCTGCCTGGCAAGCGCAAGGTTGTGAGTTTGATGCCCGGTACCAAAAAATACACAAAACACCAAGTTGTCCCCCACAAATAAATAAATACAGTTCAAGAGAACTGGAGGTGAGGACAGGGCAGGGTGGGTTTCCAGTTTTGCGGGTCCCCAGGGATCTGCCCATAGCATACGCAGGGTCCTCCAAGAAGCCCAAACAAACCACTGTCCCACCCCAGTGATCCCGAGGGAGAGGGTTCCCCTCGTCTGTGTGATGAGCTGTGTGATGAGCCGCGAGCCCAGGTGTTCTCCACAGGCCAGACAGACATTCCGTGAGGAACCTGACTTCACAAATGAGCGGTTGGGTGACCCTGTCTGCCTGGCAGCATCTTCTTCCAGGCTCTTGAAGGGGAAGAGGGTGTGGTGCTCGAAGATGAGATAAAAGACCAGGAAATTCCCAACTCAGTGGGAGAGACCAGGGCCTATTAGTCAAGGCAGAAAAGCAATTCCAAAGAAGGGAAGGCTCTGACTCATGTCACTGCACCGCCTGTTGTCATCAGAGCTGACTCTGCCCTGTCAGCTTTTAGTAGTCAGGTCAGGTATTGTTCCCTGTGTGGAACCACGATGTCCACTGGGTGCCAGAGGCCTAGGTCCTGCCAGCCGAAAGAGTCTGGCAGAGAAGCCCCAGAAAAATGGCGTGGCTTGAGTCACGTGCCACCCCGGAACCAATCAGCATGGACTGGAGAAGGAAGGGCTCGCTGATTGGTGGAGCCAGTCTTGCCTGCCCAACAGCTTGATCTCCTGTGAGGTAGAGACAGTAGCCAAACCACAGGGACAAAGTGAGGAGAGGGAAGGTGGAGGGAGAGGCGGCCCAAAGCCACGAGACCCCCGCTGTCCTGGGGGTAGCTCCTCACCTACCTGCTTTTCCACATCCAAGGGTATCACCAGGAGTGAGCCACTCCAGAACTGTTAAGAAAATTTGCCTTGAGGGGCTGGAGGTGTAGTGGTGCAGCAGAGCACCTGCCTAGGCCCTGGCAAGATCCCCAGCCTCACAAAATAGATGAATACAGCAGCAGAAGCGGACTGACACAGGGGCTATGAGCTTTGAAGAACGCTGTGGTAGACTGTAGTACGCTTAGCAGTACTGCAGTTGACTAGACTCACGGTCCTTCCGTCAGTGACAGGAATGTAGGGGAAACTCCACCCCCCGAGAGTCAAAGCAGAGCTCAAAACCAGGGCACAGCCTCCCAACGCGACCTTCTGGGAGGCCGAGTCAGTAGACATGAGAGACTGGACGGGAATCAAATGCCCTGCAAGCTGCTGTCAGCTGGTTACAGTGCCCGAGTCAGTTGTCCTGGCCTGAGCATTGTTGTCCGCACCTGCTGGGTCTTCATCACAGGCCTCAGGAAGCTGATGGCACAGCCTAAGGACTCACCCTACTGACAGAGGGGAAGTGCTAGACGTCGGGTACACCGATTTCGTGTTCCCTGAAGTGAAAGAATGAGTTCTAAGGAGCAAGGGAGGTTAAGAGTAGGAATATTTATTGGAGAAAAGGAATGGGGAATAGGAATAGCTCCTGCAAGACAGGAGGGGGTCCCAAGTGGGTTGCCAGCGAGGCCTCTTCTCAAAAGAAGCTTTATAGAGAAAAATCACAAGGAGGGTACAATGGGGGACAAAGTTATGATCAACCAATAAGATTACAAGTATAGTCGCAGCCGAGAGTGGTGTCACATGCCTGTAATCCCAGCACTCGGGCGGCTGAGGCAAGAGGATCAGGAGGCTGAGGCAGGAAGATAGTTGGGAGCTGAGACCAGCCCGGGCTACAAAGTGAGCTCAAGGCCGGCCTGAACTACATAGCGAGACCCTGTCTCAAAAAAAAAAAAACAAAAAAAAAAAAAGTGTAGTTGCTTAGGTAATATTGATCCAGTGGTAGGAGGGCATAGGGACGACATCATTAGCCTTGGTTGACAATCTATAGTGTTAGTCTTGTCTTTAGTCTTAGTTTTAGTAGCTTGGTCTTGGTCTCGGTCTTACTGGGTAGGAGAGGATGGCCCACCCCAATGAGATAATGGGTTATTTATATGGGAATCTCAGAAGGGTGGTGCCAGTAATCTCAAGCTTCCCTTTAGGGAAGTGTGTAACTGCGGCCATTGTGACTTTAATCTTCTCCAGATGCCCCTGCAGCCTGTTCTGATGTCTTCTCATCTTCGGCACTGACTCCCTTCCCAGCCCTGTCTGATGGCCTATACTGTTTCTTCCTAACTTAGCTGTCTGTAATAATACCACTGACCTCTGTGTGGCTTGGGGGAAGTACTCCCCCTCCCTGGGCTCTTCCCCTTTCTGAGAAATGGAAATTACTGGAAGGTTTTTGCCAGAGCCGAAGGAAATAAAAAAATCTGACCCTTACTAAGCACCTGCTGTATGCATGCATCGGTTTACTTAATCCTCACAAGATGGGGAAGCGCCTACTCTGTTTCTCTCTTTTTTTTTTAACTGGGGATTGAACTCACGACCTCAGGCTTGCCAGGCAAGCACTTATGCCACTGAGCTACATCCCGGCCCTGCTGTTTCTTTTCCCTTCCCTTCCCCTCCTCTCCTCTTCTCTTCTCTTTCTTTCTGTTTGTTTTTGTTTTTTGAGTCGGTATTCCAAGGTGGCCTCGAACTCACTGTGTAGCCCAATCTAGCCTCAAACTTTCAACGATCCTCCTGCCTCAGCCTCCTGAATGCTGGGATTGCAGGTGTGCACCACCTTGCCTGGCACATTCCTACTCTTAGCCCTCTTTTGCAGAGGTTAACTGAGGCTCAGAGAAGGTTAACAACCAGGATATGCCAAGAAACCCTCACCTGCCCTCCAGCTCCTCACAGAGCCTGAAGGTAACCCTCTGTCCCCTGTGGGTGTGGCATGCATGCCCATGCCTAGCCCCTGACCAGCCATCAGCACTGCCGGGCACCGCCTGTGCGGCCTGTTCCTTATCCTCCCGGGGATGCCGGGACGGCAGCGCAGTGAACACCTCCATTCCAGAGAGGAGAAAACTGAGGCTCAGCAGGGTGAGCTGACGTCACACACTAGTGAAAGACAGATTAGCTAGGACTGTAACCCAGAGCTACATGAGTAATCAGGCTCATGAACCGACAAGTCCTGGGTCCCGCCAATCAGGTCCCAGCTCAGGAATTGAGTTGCTGGTGGCCTCAGCATAGCGCACGCTCCCCCTTGTCCAGAACAGAGGCCTGGAGGCTGTCTCTGCCCGGAGAACGTAGCAGCCATTCTGAGTATGTAACGCTGGAGAAGCTCCAGGCGTGGTCGTCTGCTCACTGTCAGCCTGCCCGGCTCAGGAGAGGGCCAAGGTCTGGGCCACAGGGCCTGGGGTGACTTCCAGGACCGGGCAAAGCAGATCAGGGTGAGGGCTCCACCTGCCTATTAAATTCTCCGCGGCCCCTCCCCTTCCACCCGCCCCACCCCCCTTCCCCTGTTCTCTTGGGAAGGTGGCTGCATTATGGATCCTGGCCAAAGGCCTATTGTTTATGGGTTCAACAAATCGTCTCCAGGAACCCCTCCTGGATTCCCCACCCTACTCCCTGTGGCTTCAGACTCAGAAATCCTCCTGCCTCAGCCTTTCAAGTGCTGGGATTATAGGCCTGTGCCACCATGGTCTGCATTTCAACCTTCCTTGTGTGTACAGTGCACATTCTTGTGGGACCGTCACCACTATCTCCAGTGCTTTTTTTTCTTTCTTTTTTGAGTCAGGATCTTGCTCTGCAGTTCAGGCTGGCCTTGAACTCACAGGCCAGGCTGGTCTCGAACTTGCAATAATCCTCCTGCCTCAGCCTCCTGAGTAAGTGCTGGGATTACAGGCATGCGCCACCATGCCCAGCTGTCTTTTTTAGTTTAACACCTGTTAGTAAAAAGGAAAAGAAACAGAGGTAGGAACTCACAGGACAGGCTTATTTCAGAACAAACCTGAGAGAGACCGCTCTGGCGCTGGAGACCAGACTGCTACACTCATACAGGTTCCACAGGTTTTTATAGGGCCGTGGGCATAAGGGTTAGGGAGGTCAGTGAAAAGGAGCTGCGGTTACCAGTTAGAAGCAAGGCTTGAGAATGCACCGGGAGTTGTCCGTTACTTGTCAAGCTCAGGGCTGAATAATGGTGGGCGTTATGCGCTGCGGCTATGATTACTGGGCCTTATCAACCCATGATTACACATTTCTAGCAGGCACTCACGCACAGCAAGTGGGGGGGCGGTTAATGTGAATGGCAGCGGTCAGATCCTTCAACAGCCAGCCAAACCAACCTGCCTACAGAACATGGTACCCGACCATGGGGACTGGGGACGGAAATGGGAGTGAGCAGAAGAACCACACAAAATCTGCAAGAAGCCCCAGTTGGCCCAGCCTCCGGCACTGACGGGGCGCTGCCACCATGGTGGCTAAAGCCACCTCCACGTCTCTGGGGGGTTTTGTTTTTTGGTTTTATTTATTTTTTTTGAGACAGGGTCTTGCTTTGTGATGCAGGCTGGCTTTGAATTCACTGTGTAGCCCAGGCTGGCCTCGAACTCATGGCGATCCTCCTGCCTCAGCCTCCCACATGCTGGGATTGAAGGCGTGCACCACCATGCCCAGCCACTTTCTTGTCTCTGGGGCCTTAGTCCTCTACAGGAGAGGCCCCCACCAGGTCACCTCACTCAGCCCCTGACTCCAGGGAGGGCGACACCCACACAGGTCCTGGGCGACCTCTCCTCCCCAGATATTCACTGGAAAGGGCAGCTGCTCCTCCCTCATCCTGCCTCCTGGGAAAACCAAGCTTTCCAGAAGTCCGGGTAGAGCTTGCCTCTTCCCGCCTGGGTAAGTGGGGTGTGGGCCAGCAAGTGAGAGGCCGGCACACCTCCACCTCACCCCATCCGGGGGCTGAGCCTGTCCACGCCCAGCCGCCCCAAACCTGCTGCTGTGAACTGTGGGCTGCAGAGAGGGGAGAAGAGCCAATTAGGCCCCAAACATACCTTGCAGGAAGGGACCTGTCTGCCTCCACCAGAGGGGAGAGAGCTTGCGCAGCCCAAACCTGAGCTCGGGTCCCCGCGCTGCCAGGTCACGCTGTGTGACCTCAAGCAAGTCACTTAAGATGTCTGAGCACAGTTCTGTTGGTGGCATGGGGCTCAGTGGTGCCTAACCCAGGGGGTTGTGCTGAGGACTGAACGAGATGCTTTCCTCCTCGCCTAATTCCTCGAGCGCGCTTCCTGTTCAGTACATACAGTAATGCCTCGGTGCACGGTGCACAAATGCCTCGGTGCGCAAACAGTTCGGTTTGCAAACAGAAG